ATCGGATCTTTCCGCGGGGTAATTGTGATCCCATTGAGTCCATACTCCACCACATTAGTCGAAGACACGGGGTTCAACGGATCGTCTGTGATGGCGTCGATGTGAAACATTCCGTACGAGTTGGTAAGTTCCGAACAAAAGACGTGGTTCACCGTTGCTGGGATTCCACTACCGTCAAGTTTTAATCTCCAATACACAGCCGGAGAGTCCGCATTGTTGAGTCTCTTGCGCTCCGCATCAATGCCAAAATGGCGCTCCATCCACGCTGGAATGTCGTCGAAATATCTCGAGATGGCTTCGTGTACTTTCTTCAGGGAGGTATGCGGTATCTCAGACATGAACACGCTCGAAATAAGTGAGAAGTCCTTACAGCCCGTGATGTCGATCTGGGACAACGGTGTGGCGGGTTTGTCGATATCAGCACCCTTCCTATGTGCGAGGGCCTTGTCGATCGCGACTTGAGCTATTTTGTCCACGGCCGACGGTATAGAGGCAACCGATCGCGCGTGATGCACCATGAGCGCTTTCTTACGTTCTTCTGGGTCACGACTGAGCTGCGTGTTAAAATGCAGAGCCTTGAGAATATCCTGGCCAGTTGAATGAAGTGGTGCATGAAGGAGAGCCGACTGTAGTGTAGCGAACATCAATTGCTGCTGGAGAAGAATCCCTTGAAGCTCGTTATGTGTGGCTTCTGTCTGGGTGACTTCATGCTTCTCGCGGGCCGTACGCTGCGCAGTAGCCAGAGTTTGAGAATCTGGGAGCTGTTCTGTCCACTTGGAGTGCAGCTTCTGCAGCTCCTCTTCCATAGAAGCTACTTGAGCTCTTAATCGACGGATCTCGTGTGTAGCACTAAGCGGTGTTTTGCTGGATACGCGGGGTCTGCCACGCGGACGAGGCTCAGTTGATGCTGTGAAATGCTGGATAAACTCATCGTGAGAGGGACGCGGTCGCTTCTTGGCGTGATTGTCCAAGTCCGTATCCTGGTAGCTCTGAGACCGGAAAGGTGGGTCTCTTTCAGGAAGAGAGGTCATCGCCAACCGGGTTAGATGTTGTCTGAGTGGGAGACGACTGGCAATTGAATTGTGGGCAAATGAAGAGAGAAAGGGTTGGCTATCAAACAAGCCTCAGGCAGCTGTGCGCCTATCTCCACCACAGCAACACGGCATAAGGATCTGAGGCGCTCAGGTGTTTTTGAGGTCAAGCGATTACGAGGCTTGGGGATTTACAAAAGGTTCTTGTAACAAGCCAATGCGACACTGCTGACACTCTTCTACTCGGCTGCAAACCTGTGTCGTTCCTTGTCTACAATCTCGCGAAGCGACCACACAAGCCCGAAAAACACCGGAGCGCACGCGTTGAACGTTCGAATCACGTGGGAACTTCTCGATAAACTTTCTTTGCAGGTATTAAAAATGATGTACATGTAGAGTCGTTCGTTGGTTAGTGCGTCGTCACTGCAAGCCGAATCTTATCGATACCTTACCTGTTCCTTACTTTGGTCCGAACACACTATGTCAGGGTAGTGTTCTGACATCAATCATAATGTTCGAGTCCCATACGTTTTTTTAGGCTAAGCAATACCGCCATGACACGTGCAAAGAAATTGAAGAAATTGGTGTACAGTGTCTATTTCAAACTCGAATTAAAGCTAACTTCGTGTCTCCGCGACGCGAAGGATAGGGAATTCTGAATATTTAGAGAAATTAGAACACATCGCTCACACGAAAGCAGCACCAAGGTGACCAACAGGCCTGCACCTCTACTTGCATTCATTACGTGATTGTTTATCCTGGTAGTGTGGCTCGATTGTATTAATGCAGCCCCATAAGGATTACTTTGCAAGTTTGGCTTATGTGGCGCACACCATTCATGCCCTTACAAGATTCAAGTGAAGCAGAATACCCCCTTTTCCGGGTTTTCAACTAGAGAGTGGTTGCTGTTCCAACCTAGGAACCACTTGGTCACGAAAACATACTACCCTAAAGCCGTCAAATAAAACCGGTTCTGCATCCGAACGTGTATACTGTGCTGTCGGTCAGGAATAGAAGCAAAACTGACAGACGCATTTACACGAACTCATTTTGCCAGGACTCTCAGAAGCAATGGCTAGCGTTGCTGGTAGAAGAAAGCGTACAGACACAACGGGTGTCGACAGTTCAAGTGGCGGAGATATATCAGCAAACACGAATGAAGATTCGCCGCTCGAAGTGGAGTCTGCTTCCTCGCCAGTGTTGGCAGCCTCTCCTCCTTCTTGTAGTACAGGACCTGCCTTGGAAAAGCTCCAGTTTGATTCGTGGGATGAATTTCATGCTTTTGTGCGTGAGTATGAAGCGCAGACCTACCAGGTACTGCCTAAACTGCGATACGTACTGTCAGAGCTTCAATTCTCTAATCTTTGCTACTTAGCTGTTTCGAACAAGAACAAATAAAACTGTGAAAGCCCGTAATGCGAAAATCAAGGATCCAGCTTCGCACATTCCACACTCTTTCGAGCAGTATTCGAAAGGGTTAGAGTGTACTCATGCAGGAAAATATAAGTACAGTGGCCAAGGGAAAAGGTTGCGTCAAGAAAGCGGTCGGTTTTACTCTGTCAATTACACGTTATCAAGTATCTTGAAGAGGAATTTGCGAATGGAGTTTACGGTTTTAGTGTGTACCAGAAGGAACAGCTACGCAATTGCATTCGGCTTATGGTGTACGCTACAAGTGAACGTGAATTTGATAAGCATCGGCACTACATGAAGCACATGATTGAGCTCGGCTATGGTAGACGCGGCTATGAAAGCCAGAACCCGAGCTCTTCGAGATACACTGGTGGTGTATTGGAGCAACGTGGATCGAGGAGAGCGGTTCAAATTATTCTCTAGAGCCTGACTTCAGTGAATCCGTGACATCTTTAAGTACGACAAGCAGGAATAATGGTGAGACTTCCAACAACTACATACCTGACACGTTAAGCAACTGCAATACTGGAATTGACAACAGTGGAATTGATAAAGATGCACCTGGTATTTGCAAATCTCTAACTCGAGTCGTTTCAATCGACAACGATATTCAGATAATTTCTCCGTGCCGAGCTCGTGGAAGACCTAAAACAAAGCCAAGAGCAAAGAAAAAATCCGTGAACAAAGGTATCAGAATGACGCGTATGGATTCTAACCTTGTCAACTTGAATATGAGTTTAGCATCCGTCCAAAATATCTTGACCGGGTCTGAAACGTACGCAACAGCTAAATCTCTGCAGCAATTTCAAGTTTTTGGGTTAAAGACTAAGTTGAAGCCGCCGAAAGCTCACACAATTTCGAGTTTACCTGGTTCCAAGCTTATAATCGATTTAGATCAGCTCCATCGCGTTTTGCCCATGGATTGTCTCTCGATATGTGACGCAAAAGTGTCTGCTTTGCAGCGTAAGTTTGTTGGGCTGGCTGAAAAAGCTGTAGCAGTTGAAGTGACGGGGATTGAAGTTTTCAGTACACCTACACTCATGTTAATGAAGAAGTGGCATCGAGTGATGGAAGCAGTGTCAAGGATCGACAAAACTAAAGAGTGGATACAGTGTATCGACTTAAAAAACGACTTCCCAAAACATTTCGAGGTGGAACACAGTGACGATTTGTTCAAGAAACTAGAAAATATACCGCTGAATCGCGAATCGGTACGACCTAATTTTTTTCATATTGGATATTTATTTCGTTAATGTACTAATTTGTCGAGATACAGATACATGCTTTGGATCTTGCTGCTAGAGGTTGTATCGGTGATGACACAATGTGCGTGGTTGCCGAAAAATTATTCGGTACGGATCCAAATGTTACACTAATTGATCCATCACACTTGGGTATCATTCTCAATGGGGAGATCACGGTCAATACCGATAACATCACTGCTTTTTTGCGCGCGAATAGCTGTGATGTGGTCCTTATACCGGTCAACTGTAACAGAAACCATTGGTGCAGCATCATGGTACGGTCTTCATCACGGGAAGTACACATCTACGACCCAATGAGCTCAAAGTACGTCACATTTGTTCGAGCTGCTGCGCAAAAGTTGATACATCTTCTCCGGAAAACAGCGGACGAGCCATCTTATAGCGTTCACCTTTACAGCTCGGATGTTGGAGTACAATACGACAGCTACAATTGTGATATCTACGTGCTTTTGAGCTTCGAGCACTTCACTGGCGCACCTCAGCTTGGACGAGGCGACAAAAAAATGCTGCAATGTCTTCGATACCGTACCTACGCATGTGCTACGGCTAGAAATTCAGAGGAGCATATTAAAACCTTTATAATGCATTGGGAGCGCTCGAGACATTACAAACGTGTTAAAAAAATTCAAGAGTGATTAATATTGTGTACATTTGCTGACAATGCTAAAGTCAATGGTACTTCGTTTATCCGGATATGTATACCCTGTTAATATTAATACCAACGGTTTGAACTCGCTATTTTAATCTGGAACGGGTCTGGACCAGTCTGGAACGAGACTGGACCCAGTCTGGATCTAGTCTGGACCAGTCTGGATTATTAGACTCGTCTCATATGTGCCAGGTTGGAACAGCAACTCAACTAAGTACGACGATGTATCCATGTTTAAGGAGGCAAAATGCGTTTACGACAGATCGTTATGGGCATAGAAAAACCAAGCAAATTACGCTTGGAAGATTTGAAGGTGGTCCATCACTTGTCTTAAAGGAGGCAAAATGCCTCCTTTTGATACCGACTGTGCTAGATTTGTATACTATAGGTTACCTAAGTGGCTCGCGAAAGGGTTATTATGTGGAGCCATGTGCATGCTTTCTGAAGGGCTACTGACACCAGGAGATTTTTTTGTGGAAATTGAAATGCGTTTTGTGGATATATTAAATTATAAAAACTAGAGTGGCTTTCAATTTGATGCTCACTTGATAGATGGATGCAAAAAAAGAAGGCAATGTAGTAAGGAAATGTGTGTGTGTGTGTGTGTGTGTGTGTGCAAGTGGGAATACTGTCGATTGCGATGCGGCATTACTTGACAAATTAGTCAACCTGGCTGGCCCACGACCTGGGATCGAGTCGTTATTGACGCTGAAGTCGGTCTGACGCTTGGTCACTCAAGGAGCATGGGTAGGCCCGCTCAATCGACGCTTAGGATCTTGGCCATACGCTCGCTCTTATAGCACGGGGGTTGCAAGTAGCGTGACTGAGACAACGTCGACTCAGGCGATGAATTTTTAGTCATAGATGCAAAAGGGTGTGAGACCTCTGCAGACTTAACACCATGGTATCGAAAGGTGCCCTGGGGTGGGGAAGAGTGGCTTCCGCAACGATTGAAAAAGCAGAAGTGAGAATCTGCGCGTTCAGAATTGGCGAAAATGGCGTTGGCAACTTTTCTTCGTACTCTCCAACTCCGGGTAGTCGATAATATACTATTGATCGTCGTACTACTAGAATAGTAGTGCCAATAGTAGAGTACACGATACAAAGTATGGAAAACACACTAAAAGTGGAATATCTTGATATCCGGCTTTGTGATATTTGGCTTCGGAATGCATATTACTGCTTTCGTATAATTGTCGGGAAAACAATAGTGAGAGTCTCCGATATAGAAAACCGACAACGTTATTGCGTCGATTTCCTGTTGGCGCGGGAAATAGTCACAGAATACAATAGAAACTGGCGGCGTGGCATCGACAACATATTATTACTCTTTTCTCGCCAGTCCGCACAGCTTTTGTCCAATGTCCTCGGATATTACTTTTGTAGCTCTTCGATAGTAAAAGTTCCAAGACGTGATCTCTCCGAGAATGTCCCGGGGAGGTTCACAACTTTACTGAGGCAGGATACCTACATTTGAGAGCTATCGACTCGACAAATATTGACCCCCCAAAAACGACACTACCAGCCCAATTTCTCTAGTTTAGGTTTCTACATATTGACTAAAACTCCCAAAAGTTGCTAAATTGGGGACGACAAACTGACATTTTTATGATATGGATAAATATGTTAGATTATCGGGCCATACTTGAACTTTGTATGGTGAAAATTTGCCAATTAACTACCATCATTGAATTTTAGCCAATCACAGCTAATAACAATTGTATATTTAGCCAATAGGACACTGTAGTGTAGGTGAGTCACCTAAACCACCCAATCGGGCGTATCAGGTCCGATGAACTCCTAAAATATGTGTGTGTTCATTCAATTGTCAAGTGTTAGGCATATAACTTTCATATTTCTCTTATCGGACCATCACGATGTGTTTGGAGGAGTTGCAGCCCGGCAACACATGACGTGCGAGGGCAACTGCTGTCGCAGCATTCTCGAAGTTTTTGAAGGGTGAGGAAGTTGAAGAGGAATTTGTAAGAAAATGTATTGAGGCAGATGAAAGTGGCAAGAGCTTTGTATGTGTCATGGATAAGTTTGGAATGTATCTTGCGTTTAGTGAAGGAAAGAAGGGCAAACTACTAGCGCGAAACACTGCAATTCAGTACTATCGCCAAGCAAAGATTTGGCTCCTAGAGCAATGTCCTCAGCTCCGAGCGTCACTGGAAGCGCGGCTGCTTAAAATGGGGAAAACCCTAGATAGCTTTTGCTTGAAAGAGATGGTGGTGGCTTCGTAACAAAAGTGCCACCATGTACGAAGGCTGACTCGAAAAAAAATGATGGTATATTTGTATACTAATTCATGTTCTGAGAGTGATTACCAAAATGCTGCTCTCCTATGTCTTCTCTGGTACCTGTTCGGGAGAGCTTCCGACCTGTCGATGATCAAGAAGCGGAAAATCTCCATTGATGCTGCGGATGTCTTCTTCCTACACTTGGTCCGTGTCAAGACATCGGAAGCGCAAGGCCTGTCGCTCTTCCCGGATGCCGATTTTTCTACGTGTCCCTTGCTCGCTGTCGCGCTTGCCTTCTCCGTCCAAGCTGCACCGTCCCCAGCTCTCATCGCCAACCTGCCCGACCAAGTCCTCCAAACACCGACCTCGCTCTCTCCGAATGTTCCACTCGTGGAGCTTCTCAACGCACCGCCGTCGACCTCTGGTCTTTCGACGCCTGTGCCCCCACCACCTTGTGCTGGCACGGCACCGACGATTTACGCGCATGTTAACCGTGTGCTTGATCGCGTCTACCCTGCCGCTGGTGTGTCAGCTGCGCTAACGTCGCACTCCTTTCGCCGCGGTGGGTCACAGCATGCTAACGGCTGTGAGAAGATGACTGCGCGCTGGATCTTTTGACGCGAATCTTGGAACCTAAGCACCACAAACAAGGGATTCAACTACATATTCAACACGAGTAGAGAAGATCACATGATTGCCAAGGTATTGAG